GGTTAAAATATCCAAGAGTTCTGAATCGGGGACCTGGTTACAATTTAGGAAATTCCAATACATAGAGTGCCAGAGCAACGTATTTGCTCTGGGAGGACTAAACAATACGGCTAACATCTGAGGCTAAGTTAGTAAAGTTCGTAACCTAAATTGCTTCTGTCGGGATTCCAACCCGGGAACTTTTCAGTTTGGGCTCTATCCGGAACCCAATTTTTATATATTTACATTTGGTGTGTTTTGCTAGAAAGATGAATATAATGTTATAAATGCATAAAAAATAGAGCCGTAAAACAAATGACAAAACTACTTTTTACGAAAAACAAAAAATTACGTCATAAGTTAAATGGCTTTTTGGAATAACGACTTCTTGAAATTATCACTTCTAAGTGTCCCCTTAAACTAAATTCTAAATTATCATAATTAATAACAGTCATAATTAATGATGATTATAATTAAAAATGTACAGCAATTATAATGAGTAAACTGAATTATCTAATATCGTACAATGACAACATTATAACAACCGCGTCTAAACAAGTCCACTTAAAATTAATTGCAAATTCTCATAATTAATAACGGTCATAATGATTATCATAATTAAAAACTAACACCCATTTTTTATAATATTAAGTGACGTGACGAACAAGTCGTTTGCCTGATTCTTCTTCACCCGTCACCCTGAGACGTAAGTCGACAAGTCGACATTCCTGCTTGGCGGCAGATATAGGTAAGGTGGCAGTACTTCCCTGGACGAACTCTTACACAAGGAGCTTTATGCTACCAACTACTTACTAATAATGACATCATGAATTAACATGACTCCTTTCTAGTTACTTCTCACAATTACCATTTTAATAACTTGAATGACCGCTTCTAAATAGTTACTAACGTACGTAATATAACGTAACATAATTAATAACGATCATAATTAATAAATACCATAATTAAAAATTAACACTACTTTTGATGACACGTCATGAATTAACATGACCGCTTTTTATACGCCTATTGCTTTTTGTACGCTATTCTAGTCTACCATTTCAAAATGACAATTTCCCTCAATGAATACTTCGGGAAATATCCTCTTAACCTTGATATCTAGGATTCCTTATCTCGAATAAATTGTTAGTAAGTTTTTTTATTTGTTTTTTGATTAAAATACCTGCGAGCTGGTGATCGACAACCCCTAAGAATGCGATAATCGTAAATTGTAAAAGCACCCTCATAGTTGCGGTCGACGATAGGGGTGCAGAAGGGCAGAGGGCAGAGGGCCTCCCTCTTGCCGGGTGGAAATCAATCACACGGAAGAGAACGTTAAGGGGTAGTGCTTCGGTAGGTGTACTATAAAAATGTGTCTCTACAACTTTTAGTAAAAATGTATGACGACCTCTGAGGATTTTTCTGTGTGTCGTTCAATATGTTTTCGTGTCGTCACTTGATATTATAAAAATACAAAAAAATATTAATACGTAATAATATTTAAATAGATAAAATACATTACAAAATATTTTACTACTTATAATGATGTCTCAATTGATATTATAGGTCACTCATTCACATAAACACACACACAAACACACTCACTCACACACACACACACACACACACAGAGACACACACACACACACACACACACACACACACACACACACACACACA